CTAATATTTCTAAGCATAAAGTGATGATATTTATATTCAATAAATTTAAGTTTAATTTCAAAAGCTTATTTTATGTTTAATCATTTTAAATTGACGATTAGAAGAAGAGACAATCGCTTCTCAGCCTTTTGGCTAAGATCAAGTATAAAAGAGACAAATAAATGGTTCCAGTTTAACTACTGATACACTCAAATGCTTTGATGGACCACAAGGGCATTATGCTAAGTGAACAAGCCAATCTCAGAAAGTCACGTACAATATAATAATCTCACAATAACAAAATTACAGAGATGGAGAACAGATTAGCGGTTGCCAGGAATTAGAGATGGTGGTAGGAAGAGGGTAGATGTGACTATAGAGGGTAGCAGGAGGGAGATCTTTGTAGTGATGAAACAGTTCTGTATCCTAATTGTAGTAACTGTTACACGAACAGACACATTTGATGGAAGGGCACAGAACTACACACACATACTGTACTAGTGAAACTTTCGGGTTTTGATAATGTACCATAGTTACATGAGACGTAACCACTGGGTAAAGAGTACACAGGGACCTCTCTACTTTCTTTATAACTTCCTGTGAGTCTATTATTATTTCAAAATAAAAAGTAAAAAAAAATTGCTTCATCCATATCTAATTTCATGTGCCACTTCAAAGAATCCAAAAATAGAAACTGTACGAAATTCATCTGAGTGCAGCTTATGCAAGAAAGGGCAGGATAATTCCCATTCTGGACCCATGCTCAAAGACATGCCCTTAGCCTTACATCAAGACAGGCAAATAAATATTCATGTCTCAAGAATCAAAAGCTTTTAAGGCATAGTGTTTTATTATTTTTTATAGTTCTTAATGCTTAGTTGACTTTTTGTTTCACTTAAAAACTAACAATCAGATAGTAGGACTTTTACTATAAAAAATGATGTGGCTATCACTTCTTAGCTCTATATTCTATTGCCTCTTCAAGAAAGTAGCAAAGGAAAACATGGTGATTCAAGTAACTCCACATAACAATCAGAAGAGTGTTGGAAACATAAAAAGTGTTATATATGTAAAAGCCAGATACGTGCCTGGTATACAATGGGTCCTCCATTAGAAGCTGCTGGTTGCAGGGTCCCAGACCTGACTCATGTAAAGGTCCACTAATACAATCAAAAAGTCAAGGACCAGCGTTCTCTATAATACACACACATTAAAAGTTATCACATTCCAAAAACTTTTCCTCTCTAAAGTTACTAAAAATTTCAAGGCCATTTCAACCAAAAATAGCTATAGAAAATATATTTGCTAAATCCCATGGCTAAGAAACATCCTCCTACCCCACATATTATTCATTAACCAGGTGTCAATTTTGTTTCCAATACAAAAGCCCTAAGTAAGGAATGGGGTGCTTCCCACTCCAGGTGGGAGAGCCATCCCCAAGATAAGGGTACAGCCTGTCAACACAAGGCTTCCATCTGTAATGTATGCCTGCAGAGAGGTCCCAAAGAGTAACTATGTCTAACTCCTTAGGGTAAAACAACATACATTCCTCACATTTAATAAGCAATGCTGGAGAAACCATATAAAACAAAAGTCACTGATCACTTTTTTCACACTACTTAAATAGCACCAATACCCATAATACATTTTTCTTCTATCCAAACCCTAGTCTCTTCACCTTCTCCTAGGAGGAGTTTTGGAAGACTTTCTAATAATATTTGAAATGTGTGTATTACACTGAATAAATCAAAAGTTGGCTGGGCGCAGTGGGTCACACATATAATCTAGCACTTTGGGAGGCCAAGGCCGGAGGATCGCTTAAGGTCAGAAGTTCAAGACCAGCCTGGACAACACAGCAAGACCCCATGTCTACAAAATATTTAAAAATTAGTCATACACTGTGGCACACACCTACAGTCCCAGCTACTCAGGAGGCGGAAGAGGGAGGATCCCTTGAGCCCAGGAGTTCAAGGCTATAGTGAACTATGATCATGCCACCACACTCTACCCCAGGAGACAGAGCAAGAACCTGTCTCTAAAAACAAATAAATAAATAAA